TATGCTAGGTGGACACAGTTCCAGTTACATCCTGTAGGCTCTCATACATGCACTCAAGCCCAGACCTGTTTTGCATTTCCAACTTTTATCTTTATCTGGATGCCGAACAGCACGACAAATTTACCTTGTCTTATCTTTCATATCCACCAAGCACAACCAAAACCAAATTTTCTTTCTCTAATTCTCTATCAGTGAGCAAGTACTAGGTTTTACCCAATAGCCAGAGCAAGAAGAGTGGGAGTCATCCCAGACTTCATGCTTTCTATTTCCTCCTCCACCACCTTCCTCTCCTCAGTCCAGTCTATGAACTTCTGTTGAACTCAGATTTAAAAACTACTTATAGTTCTAACTTCTTGGTTCAAATCCTCATTATTTCCATGGATAGGATATAAGTGAACTTACCACTCTGTTCTCAACTTCTCTCGAATATGTTAGAATGACACACTCAAAATTTTGGATGTATACCAGGTTACTGATTGTTGCCTGCCGGCTTCCAGTCTCTGATAAATGGGCAGTGATTATGATCTGCATCCTTCATGATCTTGGCACTCATAGCAAACTGGGCCAGGAATTGGCACTTGTCCCAAATCTTCTATAGGTTTGGTCAGCCAATCTATAACTTGGATGATTGGTTGTCAAATACAAGTTGAATAAAATTTTCCTTTTGGAATTTTTGAATAGAGAAGCTGAGAGAAGCTAGTCTGAAGCTGTTCAGACCAATGTTTTGATAAAAAGAAAGTTCAGGCATGAGCAGGCTGCAGTTATGACAATGTGGATATTGTGTGAGCTGGGGAGCTGGAAGCCCAGAGAGAACAGGGTAAGAAAGAAGTTGTGAAAAGGATGTCTCAGTGTCTGATGGTTCTTTAGTTGTACTTTCTGAAGCCTAATCACATTGTGTTTTCTACTTCACATGTTCATAAAATTGTTACACAATTAAAACAAGATAAAACCAAAAGCTCTAGTCTGAGTGAACCCCTATTTCCTGCAATAAACTAACAATTATGTGTTCCAGTAAGCCCTTATAATGTTATGATGAGACATCTGGAAGAAAGAAGCAATGTGATGATGCTAAGGGCAGCAAAATGAAGTCCCAAACTCACTGTTTATTCCAGTTCTTAAAGCATTAGCTTAAGGGGGAAGAAAGAAAGGTTAATAATGAGTTTCTGATGTGAAACTTAATCTTTATGTAAGACAAATTGATCCCTTGTAAACATAATTTCAGAAAGGGAAAATAGTCTCAGCTACAAATACCACACGAAAATTATTGCAGTAACTGATATAACATTTTTCTAATATTTGTTAATAGTGGGATAATCAAACTACCTTTTAGATGCCATGATTTGAGATATCTGTCTTTCCTTTTGCCAGTGATGGGGGACTAGAGGAAATGCTGAAGATCTCCAGGATTCTTAGTCACATCACCATATTCCTTTCTCAAATAAGTAAATTTATTGAAGATTAATAGATTAAAAAGAATGTTAGGCATATTTAATCAATATTTTGAATATGAGATACTATCAGAAAGCATCTTTACTTAGGTCTCTCATTATCTTTATAAATGTATTCAGACTATTTTTTTTTCCTGTTTAAAAACCCAGGCAATGTCAGGACTCTTCAGAATTCTCATGTAACAGAAAGTCCCACAGTTACTTCCAACCATGTTTAGTGCATCTGATTTCATGTCATAATAAAAACTTAGGACTTGATTGAAAATTAAGTCCTAACAGTTTCCCCATGAGAAACCATGTACTGGTGCAAAGCTGAGGAAGAGGAAGGTCCTTCTCTGCTTGCTCCTGGAAGTTTTTGATCCTTCCAGGGTGGGATGGGAGAAGGAAAGAGAAAAATGGGAAGCGGTAGGAATATTCTTATCTGAACACTGGAGCTATAAGCTGTCATCCTGCTTTCCTGGACCTGCTAAATGTTTAAAGAAGACCATATTTTGTATAGGTTGTTGTGGTTCTGGGAGATTGCAGCCATTACTAGTGATGTCTTGCCCATTGTTCCCTTTGTGCAAATGTGTTCCAGTGAAGCAAACTTCTTAGCCCAGTTACCTGTGTTTCCCTTCTGTTTCTCCACTTCTGAGGCCTGTCTGTACTGAAGGAGCCCTCCCTCATGGTTGGCCCACATACAATCCAGAAGGAAACACCCCCTCCCCCCTGCTATACACACACACACACACACACACACACACACACACACACACACACACACACACTCTTCCCCTGGACAATCTTGAAGCAATAACAGCTGCCTGAGCTATACTGAAGATGCTTGCTAGCCCACTTTTTGTATGATTGCCCAAGATAAAGTCAGACCACTGTTTTCTACCCAGGGATATACATCCAACTTTCTGATGAGACCCACTTATATCCCTCTGTCTTGGTGTGAGGTGACTCCCAACCTTTCACTTTGGTGGGAACTGAGAGCACATATTTCTTTACACAAATTAAAAACCCTCTCAATATCCTTTCCCCAATCTCTAACACTCCTTGAGGAGACACAATATTTCCTGGAAAGTATCACACAATATTTCTTGGTGCTTTAACCAATACTTTAGTTTGAACATCCTGTAAGAAAATATGTGAATGGCAGAACTTTATTGTTTGGAATGAAGTACTACTCTACTTTTTGTCTCTGTATTTCCTATACACTGTAACCACATGGTTACACTCAGAAAAGTAGTGTCCAAGAAGAACAAACCTCCAGGTTTTCTGGCTAGCTCTGCTTTTTGAATGGATTCTCCCCTTCTTCCCCGAGGAGACAAACTGTTAGGACTTTCCCAAGAGTGGCCCAAGAGAAGGATCAGAAACCCTAGGACTCAGGGGCCACACAACTCTGATCCTACTGGAGAAGGCTGTAAAGAACACAGACTACCTAGACTCACAAGTGAGGGACCTTGTTTATGGTGCCTTCTGATTCTACTGAGTGGGTAACTGTCCTGCAGAGCTACTACAGGGGACTGTTGCACTCAGTGTGCTAAATGATTGGAAGAAGGACTGCAATAGATGGGTCTAGAGAACTTGGCTATCCACAGGAATCAGGAACTGGGAGGGCTGACTCTGGTTGAAGGCAGGAAGCAATGGCGGATCTGCTGGGAAAAAAGCATAGTAGCTCAGGTCTTCACAATGCAGAGCCCAACTCATCTTGCAGTTTCCTCTTCCTAACTCCCTTCTCCTTCATTTCTGTCATAAAAAGCCACTTACCATTTCCTGACTATGCCATGCCCTTCCACACCTCCAGAGTTTACCTATGTTCCTCCCTCAGGATGTAAGACTCTCCCTACTTTCCCTACACCAGAGCCTCCTACATAGCTTTTGTTCAGCCATCAAGACTCAGCTTAAGTCTAATTTCCTGTGAAGCCTTCTTGCTACTTTCCTAATCCACTGTACCATTTTCCATGTGTCAGTTTCAGCCCTCACTGCACTATGTTGCTGTGCTTTATCAATTTGCTTCTCCCTGCTTCAGAGAGTGAGTGAGTGCCTTAAACACGAGGAAGGGTTGTGCCTTTTTCATTGCTGCACTCTCACCACCCAACACTGTACTTCAATGTTGTAAGGACATGTTACACATAAAATTACCATACGTTTATTAGCTTACAGCTTCTGTGGATCAGAAGTCTAGGCATGTGGCTGGATTCTCTGATTAGAGCCTCACTAAGCTGAAATTAAGACATTGGCCATGGCAGTAGCTCCCATCTGGCACTCAGGGTTCTCTTCTAAGCTTATTGATTACTGACAGAATTCACTGTCTCAAAACTGTAGAACTGATATCCTCATTTTCCTATTGGCTGTTGTTCAAGAACTACTCAGTTCCTAGAGGCCACCCACAGTTTTTTGCCATGGGGTCCCACTAGGCAGTAATGGATGTTTGCTTGTTTTCAGGTTAGCTGGAGCACATTCTATTTTGCTCTTTGAAACCACCTGGCCAGCACTCTCTGCTTCTAAAAATTCACCCAATTAGATCAGGCCCACCCAGGATAATTTTCCTTTCACCATATAATGTAACATAATCACAGCAGAAATATTTCCACCCACACTTAAAGGGAAGGGAATTATATAAGAGCAAGGTCACTAGGGTCACTAGAATTCTGCCTATTACAGAGCTCAACAAATATTTATAATCTCTAAATGTGTTCCACAAACTTGTAAATTATAAACATCTCTAAGATTTTTTTTCTATTGTCACTTTGGAGGACTTAAATTGTTTGCAAATTTATGTTGGATCCAGAGTGGTTAGGGATGCTGTATTGAAATAACACGAGACCCCTGCAGAGAGTTCAGCTGGTATTCAGGACTGTGAGGCAAGACCCAGCCTACCAACTAACTGGCTGGGTGACCAATCTTAGGCTAAGTCTTTGATGATTTTTAGGTTCCTCCTTATGTATAAAATGAAGAAAATATCTAAGATTTGTTAGCTCCAGTATTCTATAATTTCTAAGACTAAATCATAGTGATCAAATTAAAATCTAGTGATCGATAATGTCCAAATTTATCCAACTAGTTCATGAAAGAATTTCATTACAGATGGAGTTGCAGTGATGTGATTTTAAAAGAAAAAGGGAAGTTTTGTTTTTATGTGAATTCATTCCTAGATTGGCTGGATTTGACAAAATGTAAATACAGGTATATAACTTTTAATTCTTTATATAGAATGGTGAAGGAGTATTTTGTCTTTAAATGACTTTTCTATTCAGCTATGATTAGAAGTGAATTTTCCCTAATATATTAAAAAGTGACAAACTACTGTCTTTTAAGTTGAATTAACTTAATTGATAACTGAATAACTATCAAAGGCAGTTCTCAATATTACAGATCAATTCTCTGAGTATGTGCAAAGCATGCTAGGTTCTTCTATACATTTTGGGGTTTTAAGTCTTTCTTTTGTCTCTATGAAATGAAGTCTCTTTGGCTAGTATAATTATTCTCTTCTACCCAACAAAAATGAACTCTAAATTTAAACAGGTATTATTAAATCCCACTGAAATAGGCTTCATGCAGATGTATTCGTTAAAACATCCCTTTATTGACTGTGCACAGTTATTAACAATTCACATTTCACTTTATCTACTGAGTGGAAGAGCATTTATTCTTTCATTAAAAAGTTAAGCCCTCCAGGGCAGCAGCAGGAATGCAAAGCCTTCTTCCTATAAACAGCACTGTCCAGTTCATGTGAAGTGCTTCCATATTAATACAAAAGGGAAAAATAAGTAAGACAAATGGATTTCTACCTCCTTCCATCATCCCCCTCCCTGCCAATATACTCCTCTTATTTTATAAAATGCCCACAAGTAAACAGTTCCCACATGGGTACTTCCATCAATCAGAAGAGGAATGGCAACATTTATGTGGCACCACTGAGTTCAAAACAGCCTTAGGGCTCTGTGAAAAGTGACAAAAGGAGTATGAGGCCATGGTCATTTCCTTAGGAAGATGCATTATGGACAGAGAGGGTAGAAAACCATAAAGGCATTAGTCAGTCTGTAGCACCTTGCTGCTCAAATTTCAGAAGTTGTTTCTCAAGTTTTGAGGTGTTTACTCGATGCTTCATTAGAAACTGGTCATTCAAATGAAAGACAGGAATGTCAAATTTATACTTTTCATACCAAGCAGAATTTTCTGGAAGTGTGATGTCCACCTCCTGTAAAATAAACTGAAGCACAGACAGGCTAAAGCTCTATATTTTAGAGACTAAGAACAATGCAAATTTGCAGTTTCTAATGCTGAAAGGTTTTGGTCATTTGTTTTAGGTCCACTTTGATCTAATGCCCCTAATTTCCAAAATGACTAGTTTCATTATACCATATTCCCTACCTACAGATCTTGCTACTTTTCTGTTACACCTGCTACATTCAGCATCACACTCCTGCTCAGTTCTGATGAAATAAAACACATCCCAGCTGGGGAGCTGCCTAGGAAAGAAGTGTTTTGGTTGTAAGAATGGTAAAGGTGTGATGGTTTGGCTATATGACAACATTTCCATGGAAGTTATGAAATACGATAAAAGAAATGGGGACAAAGGTTTAAAGAAAACATGAATATTGCACCTGCTAGTTAACTTTGACTCATATTAAGAGTCAGAGTAAGAAAATCAGTACTGTTCAGAGAAAAACACTTAGGGGTAATGAGTTTTATGGAAATCAGCACTAAACTCTCTCTCTGAAGAATAGAAGGAAAATTTAAATGAAAAATTATTTAATCTCTTTTCCTAAAAAAAAGATGGAGATAGATATTTTATACCACATACAATATCCATTCCACATTCATAAAAGCCACACTATTACCCTGTTTTTATAAGGCTTGAGTACTTCCTTGGCTTCATCACAGAGTGGGCATGGATCCTACAGGAAGCAAAAAAATAAAGCTGTTAAACCTAAAGAATGATCTTCAGCCTAACCAAAAACCCACAGGTTTTATTTACTTTAAAGGACAATTTTATGCCATGTTAATTAGACTGCTTTATTCTCAAAGCTAAACACTACCATAGAATCTTAAAAAAAAAAAAAAAAAGCTACTATTCCATGATAGGTGAGCTCTCTGCACTTTTTGATTTTGTGTTTTGATTTTTCTCATATATATATATACATGGGTGTGTGGATTTATGATAAATTTAGATGTTTATTATTTGTTTCTCTAATCTATCTACCAGAGGCTCCTTGAGTTGAGGTGCACCTCTGTGGCCTGGCTGCCACCAGCAGAATGGCTTATAGTCTGTTCTGACTGGGAGACACTGAATTTTGCTGGCCTATTTTTCCTGATCAGTCCGAAGGAATAAACCCCTCATGACACAGTTAGTTATTTGTTCCATCTTTTAAAATGATGATACCAATTTGTATTATTTTACCCATTTTCTTGTATAAGTAGTATTAGCAACAGGTATTCTAATGCTAATACTCTACTTGAAAGGCAAGAAGTTTTAGCATCCATTGTTGTTTGTAACAAACTCTTCAACCATACCATGGAAAAGTATGTTGAGAACACTATTGATCATCAGTGGATTTTAAAGGATTCTTAGCCAGTCAGTCTAAGAAAAGGGACTAGCTATAGGTTCTCTTGAAGGAGCTCAAGATAGATACAACATTATTGATGTTTATATAAAATCTACATTTTAACACATCAGGAAGGGATGAGCTACTATGTTAAAAAGAGACCCTTCCTCCAGTTTAACTCACAGCATGGTTTATATAAGGACAGAGATCTTTCTGGATCTTTTTGGCTCTACTCTCCTGGGTCAGAGAATGAGACTTACCAAATTGTTATTAGCATCAACAACAGATTATAGTTTAAGTCAATCATGCTGAAATTTTCTGACAAAGTATGAAAAGTTAACCTAAGACCTTAAAAGCAGAAACAAAACACAAACATACTAATTTTCAAAAGTATCAAATGTATTAAGATTTTGCTTTTATATTAAAAATTTCATTAAGATGTCTTTATTATGTGCCTCATGGGTTTGGTACATATATTGAGTTAAATGGACTGTTGGTTTTTGTTGGTTCTGTTTTATAAATGTTTTTGACTCTCAACTGTTCGAAAGCTGAAAAACAGTGCAGAACAGTAGGCCAAATGAGTACAATTAATCTTAGGGATTATTTATTTTTGTGGTTAATTTTCACATGCATTTGCCATCATAGATTCTCATATGATGAAATAATTTTTATTCCTTAATTCCCAAGAGTTCAATATATATTCATGGATATAAAAAATAGTACAAATTAAATATTCTCAACAAAAATTCATTCAAAAACACTACTTCAGTTTTGTTATTAGATAACTGCTAGATTTTTTCAAATTATTAAAATGTTTGAAATCTATTTTAAAAAACTATTAAGAGCCCCTTTTTATTTGAATTGCAGAATTATTCACAAAAGTTGCTTCTATTACTCTGCACTTTCTTTTTTCTTTTTTGTTTTGAGAGAGAAAATTTTTTCATATTTTATTTTTTAGTTTTCAGTGGACACAACTTCTTTATTTTATTTTTATGTGGTGCTGAGGATCGAACCCAGCACCCTGCGCATGCCAGGCGAGCGCACTACTGCTTGAGCCACATCCCCAGCCCCATCCGCACTTTCTTTTTTGATTATAAATTGCACAAACTGATGTAAACTAGCAAAAAGAAATCATTAATGTTTGGTCATAAATTTCAAGTAGAAAATCTCATTAAAAATTTTAAACTAACCAGGTGCAATGGCGCACACCTGTAATTCCAGAGGTTGGAGAGGCTGAAGCAGGAGGATACCAAGTTTCAGGCCAGCCTCAGCAACTTAGAGAGGCCCTAAGCAACTAAGTGAAACCTGCCTTAAAATAAAAAATACAAAGGGCTGGGGATGTAGCTCAGTGGCAATGTGTCTCTGGTTTCTAACCCTAGTACTGGGGGTGGGGGTGGGGTGTAGTATTAGGGATAAGAAAAAGAAATACATTCAATCTTCATTATTCATGAATTCCATATTTGTGAACTTGCCTTCTTGCTAAAACTTATTTGAAACCCTCAAATTGATACTTGAAACACTTTTGCAGTTATTTATGTACATGAACATGCAGAGAGTGATAAAAAATTCAAGTTGCCAAAGCACTTGTTATAAACTGAGGTCTAACACAGTAATGCTATGCCTTTTATTAAAATAAAAATATGCCTATTTTCAGAAATACCAAATGTAATAAAAATTTTGCTTTTATATTAAAAACTATACATAAGGTTATATATTTGGTCATTTGAAAAAAATACTATGACCAGGCTCATGGGAACCTAATCCTGTATTTTCTCTAGGAGTAATGATTCAGTATTTGCTAATTCTGTGTTTGTGGTGATTTTATAGAATATAACTACTACAAACTGACTTATTTCCAAATGATACTTTTTTTTTTTTCTTTTTGGTACCAGGGACCAAATCCAGTGATGCTTAACCACTGAGTCACATCCTCAACCCTTTTATTTATTTATTATTTTAAATTTTGAGACAGGGTCTTGCTAAGTTGCTTAAAGCCTTACTAAAATTGCAAATGATACATTTTTAAACATAATATAATCTATACTTTTTAACATAGGGGTCAGATGTTAATTAAATATATTAATTTACTCTCTGATAACTGTGAAGACGATGAAGTGTCTGGGAAGGAAACAGTTACTGCTACTGTGCTGAGAGAGAAATTGGAGAGCAGGTTTGAAGAGAGTTTATTCCACTGTTTTCCTTTCAGATTTGTCCTGTATTTGTAAATGTACAACTGTATGCACCAAAAATCTTAATATTTTATATTTTTAAAGTAGTAATTTTATTTTTTCACTCTGTACCTTTGTGAATAAGGTCAGCACAGGCAAAGTTGTCTTAGAGGCAGAGAGATTTCTCAAGAAGAGTCCAAAGGAAGATTTAGCAAGTTGCATGCTATTTCCTTGAAACCAGAACATCTTAATTCTGCCAAAAGAAAAATAAACCAGTAAACTTCTGTGCCTTAGATTTTTACCCTTTATAATACAAATAGTTAAGCTGCAAGCTTATGATGGAATTTGAAGGCTTCAGAATTGCTCCTTGGAGTCCAAGAGTGCCCAGATGTTTGGCAAGTCTCCATAATGCCTCAACATTCATTGTATTCCAAACAGAACAGAATGGAGGAAAAAAATCACATTATGGCTTAGTTGTGTGCCTAGTTGTTTTTTGTAAGTTAATTCCATGAGCTTATTAATTTGAATACAAAATCACCTGCAGATTTTTGCCGGTATCCTGATGATTTCCTAAAATTAGAGGTATCTTGAGATAGTCACAGGGATTGCTTATTTTTTTTAAAGTAAACTTTCTTATTCCAATCAGACCTTAAAAACATCTTTTTGGTGCATAGTAATTATATATAACAGGGGGATTCATTGTGACATATTTGTACATGCAACATAACATAATCTGATCAATTTCATTTCACCAAGAGATAGCTTATCTTACTGACAGACAAGCATTCAGCTACCATCACAGTAAGGGAAATAATAAGCAAATGAAAAGCACAAGTCCCCACTAAAGGTGCTGGCTATCTCTTTAGAGATCCATGCTACTGCACTGCAAGAGGTGGGGAAACATAAAACTGTAGTTAAAGGAACTACAGAGGAGAATCAGACTCAGTTAACTTGTCAGAAAAAAGAAAAAAATAAATCTCTGCTAAACTCCTTAAGAAGTATTTTAAAAGGAGATTGCCATAATTTTCAATAACTTCATACACAAATGTACTAGTGTTTCTACTGGAGAGATTCCAAGAACAGCTTAATAGCAGCATGTCAAACAGTAGGCTTTGAAGCTCCCTCATCCTGCTTTGCTTGACATAAGACACCCTATTATTTCTAGATATTCTATTGAGACTCCAGCTTTGTCTTTAAAACTACAAATATTATAATTTCACTTTTAAAACACATGTGCACTGTTGGCTTTATCAATATTCCCAAGATGAACTCATTCCTGGGATCACAATTTCTTAACTTCACTTTACTCTAACTTCATCTATCACTTTTCCTTCTCTTCCCTTGGTGAGTTGCAGCTGCAAAAGTTCTCTTCTAGTCCTTGAATACCTAGAGATCATTTTTTCATCAGGATTTTTGCACATGCTTCCCCTCTGCATGAAAATCTCCTAAGTGGCTTCTACTCATTTGGCCCGGGTATCCTGTCATCTACTTTGAAAACGTCTTAGTGACCCCGTTACCAATGCTAGCCAGTTCATAATTCTCCATCCTCATACCTTGAAATAGCTTTCTTTTGTCCTTTGTTATATAAACTGAATTCTGTTTCCTCTACTACAAGGTGAATTTTGTTAGAGCAGGTTCAACCCTCTATCTCTAAGCACCCACAATCAACCTGGCATTTAATAAATGCTTAAATATGTGTTTGAATGTTTTAAAAAAGTATTGGAATAAGGTTTTCCCACTCTCACCTTTAACCCTCTTCAATCATTCAGTATGTATAGCAGTTACTATTTAGTCTTACCTTATAACTAAACGTTAATACTCCTCAGGGTGTCCACAAGATTTTGGGCTGAGGTGCTGCAACTGGTTCTAACATCTTCACTGCCACCAGCTTGAATCACCTCCTGATCTGCTCCACAGAGCATGACTGCATTAATTGTTAAACTTTACTGGCAATCAGACTCCTGAGTGTAAGATTAGCTTTAAACTCATTTCAAACAGAATGATATGACTTTAGAGAAAACCACTAACCTATATCAAACTATGGTAAAGACCACAGGAAAAAAAATCAGATAATGATCACGACAACAGTAATTTTGCCTTCATTGTTAAGGCTTTCTTACTCTTCTAGTTTTAGCAGATCACTTGGCTAACTGATCTTGATAATGCATAAAAAAAGGAATGTGATAAGAATTTTGCAAAGATGTGCTATCCAGAGTTACTCCAAGATGGAAAGTGGATCTAAACAATTTCCAATATTCTGTTCTACTTTCAACTAAATGTTAAGCCCTGGTATCAACATTCTCTGTAAATTCAGCAAAATCAACAACTCCAATAAGTAGTGTTGTTGGAGACACAGCTTCTAAAAACAGCCTTTGTCTACACAGGACATAAATGAAGAGAAAAAATAGAATATTAGCCATGTTCATATTATGTAGAAATTTCTAAGTCACTGGACTTGGAAAGGCTCTATGTCACCAGTGGCATGCTGGATATAGTGTCAAAGAAGTTATACAATATATGAAGAAGAAATAAAATAGGAAATTAACCTTATAAAAGACAGAAACACAGCCTTTGAAAATCAGAAGGATCTGGTCATCTATGGTGGTGACCTAAGACTAATAATCAGAATGGTGAACTAGCTACATACTTTTAGTGGAGGGACTGAAGATTTATTGATGTATGGCCAGTAAGGAAGTAAAACTTATTGCTTTTACCTAGCTGAGTTGAGGCTGAGGTGTTAAGGCTTTAAAAAAATTCACATGCACAATGAAAATCTGCTTCTGTATTTCCAACATGACAAAACACAGCATGTGGTCTTGGTTGCACCCAAGACAAATAAAACCTGTCATAGTAAACAGAGTTGCTATTCATTCCAGATTTGCTAGAATATTTGTTAAACCAACACAGAGAGTTAAGTCAAGTCTTCAGCGATGCTACAACCATTCTATATAAAACTCCCTCTTTTTTCCAATTATTCTCCATTTCTATTTTTTATGCATTTTTAATCATCAAATCATAAAACATTCATTTACCAGGAAAGGTATCCATGCTATGCAATTTTACAACCTGTGCATTTTTTAAATGCTCAAGGCATATTCATTTTACTATAGCGTTCAATTGACTTATTTCTTTGGAAGTATCATATTATAAAACTATATTAGAATCTGATATAAAGGATATAGCCTTACTGTCTGCCTATCCCTCTCTTAGGCAGACAGTAAGGCTAAAATTCCTTAATTTGTGGAGTCCACTTTGTATTAGAAAAAATAAAATACAACATGACACACTTCCGTAGGAACTCTTTAATTATCTTCTTAGAACATCTTACTAAAAAACTGTCAACCCTAACACCACTGCTGTCAATGTCACATTCACCATATAGAGCCTTCTTGAAGTAAAGTCTTAGTATGGGTTACTTTGTCAATGTGACATTTTCACTAGTTCAATTATTTTTGAACGGTATCTTAGTACTATTAAAAAAATCCCAAGGGGCTGGAGATGTGACTCAGTGGTACACTGCTTGCCTGGCATGCATGAGACCCTGGGTTCAATCCTCAGCACTGCATATAAATAAATAAATAAAATTTAAAAGATCCATTGACAACTAAAAAAAAATTAAAAATTAAAAATTAAAAAATCATGAAAAGTGGTCTCTGCTTATTAGTTTATGGCAGAGAAAACAACTTTTTTGATTATGTCATTGAATTTAGTCATGAAATATGTGTCCTTATTACACAGACACACAATTTTATCCTTTGTATTTTGTTATATGTCTCTGTGATATGAGCAAAAAGAGCTGTATTCATTATATCAAAGAGGTACAATTGGGTCACCTTTGTCACAGACTTACAAAAAAAAAAAAAAGAAGCAGCAAAAGGTATAAGATTAGATTTAGAATGTGCTTAAAACAAATTCCACAGCCTAACAATAAAGATGGTGACTCCTGCTGTTTCAAGTCCAGTGCTGCTCAGAGGTATAGATCCCACTAAAAGAGAAAGGGAATGCTGGCCTTTCAACAAAACTCAGGCTGACTTCAGTGGTCTTTATGGTAGAATCAAACACAATATTAGGGAGGGAGTCGACTGGACAGCCCTCCTTGAAACAAGATAGGGAAGATAACTTAACTTTATAGCAATTTCCCTGCAAAGCACTGAAGGGCATACCATTAAAGCAACGATTACAGTACAGAAAGAAGCCAGGGTTGTTTGAACCTTTATTAAGGATTATTCATTTCTTTCATGAGGAGCTGCCCAGGCTATGGCTGCACATCATTTATGCAGGGCTCCTGGATTTTTCTAACACTGTGTGTATCTGATTAGGAGGGAAACAACATTGTTCTCGCTTGAGTAGAGAAACTGACCTTCACTGACCAGAATTTTATTCATACAAAGAGTCTTTGGCACACCAAAGCTCCAAGCTCACATGATCCTTCATCAGCAAGCTGCAGTGTTAATTCATGTGCAAAATCAAAAAGTCTACATAAACCCAGGTACCGCCTTGGTTATTAACAGATAATGCTGGAGCTTCTTCACAAGAGTATAATGTACATTTAATGTTGAGCTGACATTAACCAAATACTATTACCATAGCTCTTGCTGAACCTGTGTTCCATAAAGAGAGCTCAGGGCTTCCGTTTAGTCATTTGTGCCATATGAGAAGTTAAGTGCTCCATTTCACATTCATTATCATCTAAATATAACATTCCTATTTTTCCTGGAATGAACAGAAACAGACACTGATACACACCTCTTTGGGGGAACAAATCCCATTATTTTGGATCACCAGAAGTTTATGTAATGAAGTGAGGTTCTCTAAAGGGACTCCTCTGGATCATGGGTCTCTACCTAATTCAGGAAAATAGGGACAAATGCCTCTCCAGTATTACTGTATTTCTGATCAGTCATGTCTGTCTGACCCTCATTTCCTCCTGACCAAGTGGCACTCTACACTGCGATTTTGGGTACAAGGACAAGAGAGAGAGAGAGAGAGAGAGAGAGTGTATGGCCCTTGTGAAGCCAAGAGTAACAAGGAAAGGCACTATATAAACAAAAATCCAAAACTGAAAACTGAACTGCTACTGTGAGGTGTCAATTCCAGGGGGCTAAAATGGGGGTGGAAATGAGGGTACAGAACAGAAAATATGGAATGGGTGTGGGGGGGTAGAAGCTCCAACTTGAAATGGGGCCCTAATTCACCTGGCCAGGGAAACTACTAAGAAGGTGGTGCCAATTCAGATAAGATGTTGCAACAAAGATCCTGAGCTAACTATCCACCTGTGGGTCTGTTGCACATGGCATCCTGTTCAGCTTTGTTCTGATTAGGCAATCTGGATATCTGCTTTGCTTCTACACAACACAGTAAACCACAAATAGGCCTATTTCATGACCCAGGCCTGGGTAAGCAAGGAGTAGCTCCTTATACCACACTCCCTCCCTGCAGTTTCTATGTCCAGATCTCAATGCCAACAGTTTCTCCACACAGGGAACTAGAGAACTAGTAGAGAATCAGAGTCCAGAAAGGACTGACTGATCACATGAGTGCCCACAGACAAAACCCTTTTAATTTCCCTTCAAATTATTATCATGACCATGGGATTTCCAAGGATCTGGATGTCTCTATTCCACTGTTTGGACTCAATGGGTGCTACATTCATTTGTATTCACGCACATCCAATTTGCAAGTACTCTGTGAAAAAGTTCTTTAGCTGTTTGAAGTGTGGGTTCTGCCTATCCAATAAATTGATTTCACTAAAAACATATGACATTTATGTATCCACCATTTAATATATGCATACTGCCTTTACCTCCTTCTAATTCTCTGTAAAACTAAGTAAGCCATTAATTTTTTTTTCTATCCTGCTTGTTGTTTAGTCAATCTCTTTCCTTCCTAAAGTTCTTGAGTAGTCAACTTCACACACTAGATATGAGCAACAAGAATTCTAGCTGTATTTTAGTGGGTTGAAGAGAAGGGAGTTAAATTTTTAAATGAAACAAGAAATTATGATAGGCTTCTCAGTAATCAGAAAACTAATGATATCATTTATTCATTTATTCTACAAGTGAAGAGGGAAAAAAGGATTGAGAGTGAATAAGAGAATCCTCACTCATGAAGAGTTAAAAAATCTGGTTGGAAGGTAAGACATGTACCAATATACAGGTAAATTATAAAAACAGGAAACTAACAACAGGGACATATAAAAGGTGATTTTAAATGCCATAAGAGAATGGGAAAGAAGAGTACAATGGGTTGAGACTGGAAGTGGTTTCACAAAAGAAAGATTTTAAATCATTTAGGATTTGGATATACAGATAAAAGGAAAAGCATTTCAAATTTAGGGATAGATACAAAGGTGTTGAGGTAGGAATGCCATGGCTATTGAATGGGGGAAAGCTAAATGGAGATCATTTTGATAATCCAGGTGTGGGATGAAGGTCACTGATGTATTCGTTCATTTAACAATTACCTACATTTCTCTGTGTACCAGATATTATTATAGGTGCTGGTGTATGTACAGTGGTGAACAAGAAAGCCAGACACCTTGCCCTCGTGAGGTGCACATTCTAGCAAAGAGACTCCTATGAGTCTAATTATGTCTTACCGTGTCAGACAGTGAGGTGTACAGGAAGGAGATTCAAATGTGATAGTGACTAAGGGAGGTTCTTTAAATAAGGTATTCTCTGTGCAGATATAGTTCGAACCAAAACTAAAGGATGAGACAGTGTAAAGATCTGAAAGAGGAATAATTTCAGGAAGAGAAAATAGTAAATGAAAAGGCTCCAAGTGAAGAGCAAAGATGGAATCAGAGACCTAGTTAACAGGTGACTACAGCAGTTTGAGAGAGGATGGTGGCATGGACTAGAATAAGATGCCAGCAAGGCTAGTTTTATTTATAAAGTGTTTCTAGAAAGAGGGAATGGTTCATTTTCAAACAGAGTGATGAAGACTTGCCCAGAATAGGGGCAAAGAAATAACCTACACCATCCAGAAGAGATATGTCCAATGTGGCTCCAAAGGAGTTAATTCTTCCAATAAATGCCTACCTCTAAAACAAACTATCTTGACTGGTTCTTACCTAGTTTAACATCTTAACTAAAGAGAGAGATTTTGGGTAGGGATAGCGATAGTGAGTTGGGGGAGAAGAGTGAAGGCAAAAGTTGACTGAGTACCTTAAAAAGGGATAAAAAATTTAAAAACCTTTGTGTAAGTCATAAAACAAAATGCAGAAGTAAGACTATTGGTTAATAAATCATTCTAAGGCATTTTATGAATAACAATAATAATGATAATGATTCTACTAAAAGAAATGTGCTTTTATTGGCCTCAAATGGAAAACTTAAATCTCAGAAATCACAGCAATCTCAGAAATGGGGATTTATAAAACTGAAAATATTTCTAACAGAAATGGCTGAAAAATTGATTGTAAGCATTACTTAAGTATGAAACTCTCAGATATGACATGAATGATCAAAGATCCAATATCTTTATCTGCTATTAAGGAAGTCACTAAATCTAGGTAAGACTGAAAAGGTAATATCTTGGTATGAGGTATTGGCTTAGTTCACTCAGGTTTCACAAAATATCAAAACAGCACACTGAAATTGAACTTTTCAGGAATCAAAGTTTACCCCAATAGCTTTTAAAACAAAGGCCAGTCCCTTTCCACTTGTTCTTTTCTAGTACTTGCCTTTATTTTTTTCAAATACGGAAAAATTCAGAATCTTACTACTTTACCAATGTTATTCTTGATCCATGAATGTCAAAACAGAAGCTGCCTATGCAATGGTGAAGTTGGACTTTATTAATACCTTTAAATATAACTTGTCCCAAGCGGTACTAAATAAACTATCTAGAAAGGTCAAAATAATGTAAATGAACATCGTTCCTGCTAATTCATCAGTCAGAGAAAGTAAGCATAAATGGTATAATACTTCATTTAGAACTTTAAAGTTATTCTTCACGTCCCATTTCAGTTGGAATTCTTCATTTGAGTTCTCTGAATGCACTTTTAAGGTGATGATTACATAAATATATACCTCATAGAGAAAGGTAACTGACATAGCTAATTAGGAGACATTGGGCAAATCCTCAATGTTTTTTTTCTTTTTTTTTTTGGAGGGGGTGTACCAGGGATTGAACTCAGGGGCACTCGCCAACTGAGCTACATCCTCAGCCCGATTTTGTATTATTTTCAGAGACAGGGTCTCACTGAATTGCTTAGCATCTTGCTTTTGCTGAGGCTGGCTTTGGACTCACAAATCCTCAACTCTTTAGCCTTAGTCTCATCAACTGTAAAATGAAAATTCTACCATTTGTTCTCTCATTTTCCAGAGACCCAGAGGAACTATGCCCTCAGGCTTTGGGTGTCAAACTTCTTCCTGATCTGAGAAGAGGAAATCTCAAGCTGAAGACACTCCATGGCAAAAGTCTATGACTGCATAAGGCCTTGATCAGAGTATCTGAAGTAGTCTGAAGGAAACTAAAATACTTGGCCCTTTAAAGAGGACCAAAATTACTTACAGATCCAGGGAGATATAAAGGCATTTTTTTCATTGCCCACTCTTTTTTCATTCTTCAATCATAACTGGGAATCCTTAGTGTCAGAAAAGACTGTCAGGAAATGGGGGAGGGGACATTAGAGTACCTGGGCACCCATCTTGAAACTGTCTAAGCACCTGAGATAGAAAAGCTTTCTATAAAAAGAATGCATTTTTCTCTCTTACTATTAGATAAATTTTAATGAATTTTTTAAATGACAGATGCTCTTTACCTTGGTATTCTCTTCCATGCAAATGTGGAGTGGAAAGGGAGAGAAATCTTCAGTGTAAGTAAGAGTTTGTTTTAGGATTTTCAGACCTTAGCGGCCACTCTTTCCAGATTGTTGCTTCAGAAGAGTCTACTTGTTATTGGTTTGGTTCACATGTCAGAGAAAGGTTTCCAAGAAAACATTCAGCTGAGAAAAATAAAATGATGATGCTAATCAAGAACAGTAATGTATTCTCATGATACACTCCCTCTAATACCCAAGAGTTCAAAGAGCACTCTGGACTAATTTATGTTAACACATCTTTAACACAGAGGCCCCACCTCCATCCTCAACCCTAAAGGTACTGACTCAGCAACTGGTCAAGAGCCAGAGAAGCATATTCCAAATTCAAAGTGTGAAACAATGTTCAGTTCAATTATGACATAATGGCTGCAAAGCTGTTCCTGAAAGCCAAGAAAACCTGAATAATGTGGTTGGGTTATATCATATATGAAAGCTTAATAGAGTTTAAAAACCAATTTTAAAATTCCTTCATTCCATAAAGATAGCATTAAGATGAGGGCAAAATCATCTAGTTCAAGGAATGGGAACAAAGTGCATAGGAATTATTCAGACTCCTTTCTACATTATCCTTCTTAACCAACATGACCCATTACCTTTGAAGATGTCTCTGATATTTCATACTGACCCAGAAAGAAGGTAATTTTATTAAACATCTTAGTTTTATTGTCTCCAGCTTCTAATACTAGTTTCCTTGGTATTAAAAAGCACATAAACTCAATCCTAAAAACTGTTTTCAATTCAAAATCCATCTACTCAGGCAGTGTCATCCATTTGTCACTAATATTCTACCCATTTCCATTGCTTCTTGATGAAGAGGTAATGTTATCCTTATGACCTCAAGACCTGAAAGATATTTCATTAATTTCTAGCCATTATGTTGCAAATGGCTTTGGACATATGAAATGTTAAATATACACTCCACTGAACTTGTGATATCAACAAGACCTAGGCTCACAGAAGTATAATGCCAAATCTGAACATTGGGAATCATCCACTCTTGAGATCAGGCCCTGATGAGATTCTACAATCTTCTAAGTCCTATTCAACTCTTTAACAGTCACCATTGATGGAATATTTCAAAATTTTAGAACTGGGAAATGTCTTCAGAAATTCTGCTTGCTTTATGGATAAGACTTGTTTAACCAAATCTTTCATACAATCTTTCTTCATTTCTTTATATTTTCTCCTTGAACAATAACATATTTTTATATATATAATAAGACCAACATAAAATTTCAGAACTAGAAGATAACTCTAAGTTCAGCCCCCTTTCTTCTAAAAATCTCTAAAAGCCTTATATATTAATTCTCAGTGTATATCAAGTAACAGACACCAAGTTTTGTTTAAGGCTTATTTTAAGGTTGGAAAGAATAAGACTCAGTTTTAGATGGAAAAATTCTTTTACCATAGAATGAGGTTCTGATCTCTAACTCTTAAGAAGATCCACATTAATTTCATTTTAGACCTGGAGAAACAGCCTAATTTAGATCTCTTTTTTCCAGGCATATGTCTCAAATTGCCTCATCTGACTGAATTTCTATTAAGTAACAGTATCCTTTTTTTTTTTTTTTGACTGAATACAAAGATTATGTTTTAAGAAGAGTTTTTTAAAAAATCATATAATTCAATGTCATGTCCTTTCCTTCTGACTAAGCTAAAAACCATTTCCTTATTATTTCATTATTAATATGAAAAAATACTGAACAATTGGCGGAAGTTCATTTGTTTACAGTTGCAACATTAATTTCTGCTGCAATTTCATTGGCAACCGAAGGAAGCAGCGTTTAACCCATGACTACCCTTTTACCACAGAAAATGCTGTCATTTTGAACTATTTGTAATATTAATAAAGGAGAAAAGACAAGTGTGACTTTTTCTTAATATTATTTAAGAAATCTAGATTTTAAATAGTGATTAAATATAAGTGTTCTACTCTTTTTTTCTCTTATTTATTTATTTATTTAATTTTATTGGTTGTTCAAAACATTACAAAGATTGCAGAATCACATCGGTTACACATCCACATTTTTACATAATGCCATATTGGTAACTGTTGTATTCTGCTACCTTTCCTAT